GAAAAAGTGTTTTAATTTACCGCAATCGAGTCTTTCTCCTCATAAAAATCGTATTGAATGGCTCATAGTCGATAGAAGTGTGATCCAGAGCCGGAATAGGCTCTATCTTCTTCTTATCAAGTACCAAAGGATTATCATCAGAATCGTACTCCACCATGCCCGCATCCACCGCCTTTGCCGCCGCGTAAACCTCCTCGTCAGAATCATATCCCGCGTGGAGAGCGTCAGCCGCCAGCGTAAGCCCCACGTCCTTCTTCGCCCTCAAAAAGCTCTCCATTGGATCGTCCTCCTCGTCGTCCTTATACCTCTCCAACTTCTCCTTCGGCTTTGGCGCCGGTGCCGCTTTCATCTCCTCGTGAATCCCAGCCATGAACGCATCCAGAGGATCAATTTCGTCACTATCACCATTTTCGTTCGTGTCAGTTGTGTTACCAGCGTCCCTGCCAGTATCATTCTCTTCGTAATCGATGTTATCGAGGTCCGTGTCCTCGTAATTATCATGGCTGCGAGACGAAGGAGGGACGTATAGCCGCTGAGGAGCTTGAGACCGCTCGAAGCTATAAGTGGTCTGCCGGTTGATACCGAACCCTTCGAATCCAAATTTCCGCTTCGACATTGATGAAATTATGTTTATCGAACTTTGGTTTATCGGTTTAGATCGACTCGACTGGTGAAACGAAACCCTAGGCTGGCTAAACCCTAAGACTGGTATTTGTCCAAGTGTTAAACAGAAACATTACACCACAAAAAGTACAAGAAGAATTTCGAGTTAACTCAACTGCGACTCGAGAGGGATGAGTCCCTTACCATGTGAACGGCAAATGTTGGCTGCTTACATATTTATATTACGGGTCGACCCACGAAAAAGTGGGGACCCGAATAAACTGATTGCGTTACCACTGGCAGCGGATTGGTTCGTTGCTCGGTGAGGTCGGCGGGTCAATCCAATTAGAACGTGGGGACCCGAATCAATACTGACTATATGGGCCTTATACTGGACCTCAATAACTACTGTACCTAATAAAGGCCTGGACCCGAATAACCATTGTACCTAAGTCAGTTAATATTAGTGATAGTAAAAAAGATAATCGCGATCCTGTTTATTTAAATCGATCTGCTATGACCCGATATATCGTGACTAATCTTGATTAACAAGCATCAACTCGAGTTAGGATTAGATTAATTTTAGCCAAGTATGAACCAGGTCGGGTTAAAAAATCGTATCAACCCAATTGATTATGTTATATTTTTAAATTTTAATTAATAATAATATATTTTTTAGTTTTATATATGTATAATTTATATTTATTTTAATTAGATATATAATATGTTTTTAATTTAATGTATACATATAAAATATTTATATACAACTTGAGTCGGTTTAGTATGGTTTTATAAGAAATTCACCAAGGTCCGAGCTATATATATTTAAGTACTGAGTTGAGTTTGGATTTTTTTTTAAAAAAAAAAAATATTAAAAAAAATAGGTTTTCGTTAAAAATTAATTTATAATAAAAATTAAAAGTTAAATTCGAATACTTATTTAATTTAATAATTAAAAAAAAAAAGTTAATTATGAAACCGAGTGAGTGGATCTACAATCCGAATATCCCATTCTTTTCGAAATGGTAGTTTAAATATTATTTTATACACCATTGACTGATATTATTACTTCAGTCAAACTTAAAAATAATTAGTAGCCATTATAGTCTTGTAGATCATTCTTACAGGAGAAAAAGTAAAAATAAATAAATAAATAATAATAAATTACAAAATATATAATTAAAGGTCGAAATCAATAATTAATAATTGAAATATAGTTAGTTGAATTTAAATTTTTTTAAAAAAAATAAAATAAAATACATTTACATATTCTATTGACTGACTTTGGACGTTGCATAATATATACTTATTATAAGAGGAGGAGACGATGACAGGTGTTAGGTACGTGCAGACTCAAGCACAAGGCGTTATAATTTCGGCCCGCGTGTAAATCTGCATAACGGCTGACAAACGACATGATACAAAGTCATGATTCCGTAAAGCAACCGGACGAAGCCAATCAAAGTAATTGAACTCTTAAGCAATCATCGGCACCACTGGCATGCATATATATATATATATATATATATATATACAACGTTGATCCCATTTTTTAAATTTATTTTTTAATTAAAAGGACGTATTAAATAATTGTAAAATATAATGTTAATTAAAAGGGTATTCAATTATTTGGTCAAGATATATATTGTTTGTACATTTCACCATTAAGCCTCATCAAATGACTACATATTTAATTAATACAATATACCAACATAATATAAATTTGGGTTTATGCCTAGATCTTGATAAATACATTTATTTTTTCTTTTATTTTATTTGATAAAATTTCTAAAAGTTAATAACATTTAATTTAATTCAAATGATTCTTCTAAAAAATTGTTTAAATAACATAAATTTATTTCACATAATTTAATAATTCAAAATTAAAAAAATTTATTGCATAATTTACATGATTTAGATTGTATGAACTTAAAATATATATCTCAATTTTTTGAAAAAACAAATTATTAATACATTCAATTTTATAATTCTTTAAAAAATTAAAATAAAAATTATTTAATCAAACAAAATTTCAATGGAAAAAAAAAAAGAAAAAGAAAAGACAGATTTGTTTGGTAGCAAAATAAGAAAATGGGACCCCGATTATTGTGGTAGTTGCAAGTATCCAAAAAATAAAAATAAAAAATAAAAAAAAAAATTTGTTTTGTTCATATCAATTAAAAAGGATAATTAAATTATCCAATAATATATACGCATATTTTCTATATGGATATTAGGCCATGGCTGGCATGAGCCGCGGCTACCTTCCACGAATTTGTCGACCCTCGTTGTCAATGGAATTAAAACTCTGTCTCGATGGAGACGCTACTTCAAATCTATTTCAAAGGTTAGTGGTTGCAGCCCATGCCACGTGATATCCATGCATAATACTGTTAATAAATTAATTAATGTAATTTATAAATATGTTGTTTTTTACTTTAAATTTCTCAGTGCATTTTAATTCTATTATCATGATTCTTGCTAATCTATATATATATATATATATATATATATGGATCATAAATAGATAATAAAATAAAAAAATACCGAAATTTGAATAAAGTTCAACAAATTTAACTTATAAAATTATATATTATTAAAATAATTATTATTTATATTAAGTTTAGTAATTAAGTGGATGATCTATTAAACTAACATTTTATATCAACAATTCATTTTGTAAATAGATTTTTAACCGTCCAAAATTTAACAAGGTCAAATTTGTTTATGAGTAAAATTACAACAATAACAATTTAAATGACGAAATTTAATTTTACTATCAACAGCAAAAAATAAAGTTCGGATTTACATTCATTGCACAATAATTTAGAATGTTCAATAGGATTACGAGAATGTCCATTCAAAATGTCAAACGGTAATTAAAAACAAGCGAATAAATAAGCATTGTAGAACAACTTTCACTAACGCTTGAAGGGAGTTCGGGTGGTGAACTACTCATAACTCTATTGCTGATCGGGGTCTAAATATTGGTCTTCTTGATTTGAAATAGTTAATGAAATGGTGAGCTACACTAGCTCAGTAAAAATATCACACTAATCACATATACGAAAAAACTGAAGATTGGTAAAAATCATAAAACAACTAATTGAGGCTTTAATTTGAGTAAATTTATTTAACATAAAGAAAGTCGCTTATTTCATACTTTTCAAAAATAACCTATTAAGACTCATATTCATACCACTTTTTATTTTCACATATATGAGAACAAAAAATAATAACTTTCCTTCCTTACCTGTTTATTAGTTACCCAGAAAAATGGTGGACAGATCCAGTACATAGGGAACTTTATCATTAATGTTACATCAGTCGAACGAGGCTAAAAAGTCCCTTATCGGAAAGGTTTAGAAGATATTGTTCACCCTCATACTTAACGGGGTATCGAGGCAATGGAATGTTTGACGCCCATTACTGGATGGAGTATTGAGGCAATGGAATGTTTGACGTCTATTACCGGATGGGATATGGAGACGGCTGATTAATTGTTTAAATTAGATATTAGGTTCACGAGTAGAGAGACATCCCTATGAACCCCAATGGGTACCAATAAGCAGGTAAGAAATTAAAGTTATCGTATTTTGTTCTCTTATGTGTGAAAATAAAAAGTGGTATGAATATGAATCTTCATAGGTTATTTTTAGAAAACTCGATATGATAAGTACGGAATAAACAGTTTTTTTATATAAATAAATTTACTCAAATTAAAGGCTCCATTAGTTTTTTATGATTTTTACCAATCTTCAGTTTTTTGTATTTGTAATTAGTGTGATATTCTTACTGAATTAGTGTAACTCACAATTTCATATCAAGAATACCAAGATCCAGACCCCCCGATCAATAAGAGGGTTGTAGGGACATTCTCTTTTAAAAAGGTCGAGTATTGGTTAGCTGATACAGAGAAGGCTTTCGCGAGTCTTAGGTGGTTCTTGAATATAAAAGTCCAGTATGAGGGTGAATCAGGTCGTCCCCATACCCCGTTCGGTATGAGTATAAAAAATACTATTTATCGATACCCCGTATGGTATAAGGCAACGTTCACGGTATGGTTCCCCATGTACTCGGTTCATCCACCATATTTTAGGATATGTAGTAAGAATATCATTCATTAATTCACATGACCAAACAATTTTCCGTTTGTATATTAATTATCAATTTCACAAATCAACCATAAATCA